ACTATCTGTTGAAAAGACACAAACTTCTTGAATTATTTTTTTATATTTTTTATATTTATTTTTTCGTAGTGCAGGGCCACCCTTAACCCGCACCAAAGTCCCGAATCCGCTGGTAACCCGAAGCTGCGAGGGTTCTTGGCACCTACGTGTTAATAACGCGAAATGCAGTGAAATTTTTGTATTTTCAAGCACGCACTCGAGTGTGCCACGCCTCGCAGTCCTTGCCGCCCCACCCGCCGCCCACGCCCACGCCCACCACCCAGTCGACTTGAAACAGAAACCCTTCACGGGCCAAAGTAGAAAATAAAAATTGCTGCAAACCAGAAATCATTGAGTGAGTTGGCAACACTCGGTGTCCCAAAAGGAGATTCCTTGGTGGAAATGAGGGGGTAGTTTTGAGTTTTCGGTGTGTGGTAGGGTGTGTTTGTGGCGACTAAAAAACACTTTAAAGAAGGCACAAATTTTGTTTTAATTTTGTGTTGCTTTTTCCCTGAAATCCGAAACACTTCAAATATTTGGCGAGCAGAAAGCCAAGCCAAAATGCTGGGACAAGTTGACGCCAAGCGGAGCGAGTGCCACAAAATGGACATGGGAAATTTTAAACCCACTTGCCAGCTGCCTAAAGGGCAGCACTTAAGAGGACCTCCAACCCCCACCAACTTTGCCCTCAGTCCATGTTTACTTTTGCAATATTGACACGAAAATGTTTACACAAAAATACAAATCGCGACCATGCCTTCTGCATCACAAAAAAGTTGAAACTCTCTACAGAGACTTGCAATGCCCTTCAATTGAGTCAAACTATTACAAAATGAAGACTACTTCTTGAATTGCTAACTTATGTTTGCATCCAGCATTTGCTCAGAGTTCTAAAACTATCTCGAATTTACAAGTTTTAGGTACCGTTTACATATAAGGGCACAAATGCAGTGCATTTCAACATACGACATATATATTCGAGATATCTAAAAGCATTTTAGTTTTCCTTTCAACTTAATTGCTTTAAACTTTGATTATTTTATTTCTGAAACTGAAAACAGTGCTTCCATGTTCGGTGCGACCCGGTTGGGCAAGCATTCTTGTGGATTTTTGTGTCTTGTGTTGTGTCTGCTTGTCGTCTACAATTTCCACATGTGGCTTTTCCTTGAAAGGCTTTCTGCTCGGGAAAACTTTTCGCTGCAGCTGGAGGGCACCAATAAACGTCAGACGCGTGTCAGGACGCGTCCTTTGTACACTGACACCTCCACGGCTGATTTGATCCAAACTTTGGGGAACTTCGAGGTGAACAGGTGAACAGGATGTACTTGGCCACTGTGTGGCTGTCACCTTCGATTGGACAAATCGGCTAAGTTGGCCGTGGGAAACGCTGCGGTTCAAGTGGCTAAGTGGAGGCACAGTTGGTAACAAGGAACTGGCTGGATATAAACATAGGGTAGCCATCAAAATTGTTCGAATAAAGCAAGGGCAATAAAATAATGTTAAAACATATTCTCTTAGCACGAGAAATCTGGATATTACATTGATTACTTAGGAACGTCACCGCCACACTTTGCAGATTAAAGCGTTTCCATCTTGTCGCTACACTACATAAGCACATTTTAATCAGCAAACACACACGCGCAGAGTTGAGAAAAAAGTAAATCCTTTCGGCTAATACAATTAAACTGATAACTTAACTAAATCAAACAAGTCGCCCGACCTAAGCACACCCACTGAAAAGTGTCGACCTTTTTCCGTTTTTTGCCTTGTGGTTGTGGCGCGACTTAATTCCAAGTCCCCTGTTTTACTCGAACTCTAGAACTGGAAACTTATGTCAGTGGCACGCGTCTGCGGCACGTGACCCCGACATGAAAATCACTCTCGAGATCGCTGAGGATGGCAAATGGACAGGGCTGATGGTGACGAAGGAGCTGGGTACTCTGCACTGGGTACTGGCAACTGGGCACTAAGTTTTGGGTGGTATTGTCCAAGTGATGGAGGTGATGAATGCCTGTGTGCAGATGCTTTTAAATTTAAATCGAATCAAATTGATTTGCGCACAGTTCCAGTTTCACTTTTTACCCAACGAAAGCTATGCACTCGAAGAAGTCTATAACTTAGAAACCAGGAGCAGTTAAAGATTTATTTTATTTATTACATTTTAATATAAGAAATAATGCATCATGTTGTAGAGAGATTTTTTATTAGAGTATCTCTTCTACATTACTGCTCATTTCTTAAATTTGATATTAATTGCAAAGGTGTATTTTTAAGTGACACAACTGAAGAATTCGCGTTCATATAGCCATAATATTCTATAAATCCATAAATACATATAAATTAATTAAAATCCATATAAATCCATATAGATTCATAAAAATCCATATAAATTTATACACATATATATATTTCCATATAAATCTATTTAAATTTATATAAATCCATACAAATCCATATGAATCCATAAAAATCCATATAAATCCATATAAAAATATATAAATCCATATAAATCCATATAAATTCATATAAATCCATATAAATCCAAATAAATCCGTATAAGTATATACAAATCCAACGTAAAAATCGTTATCCTAATGAAAAGGCTTTTAGCTCGTGATTTCTTCGAGTGTACTATCAATTGGCATCGCCCTTTTTGGCAAGAAGAGCACACCGTGCCCTGACCACGTCCCAGTCCCATTGTTTAGCCATTTGACAAGTGTTTTGACAATATTTATTCGAGTTGCTACAAGCCACGGCAACGGCCACGCCCACAGTCCCGCCCCCTGCGGCATGCCAGCCCCCCCTCCACCCGTTCCCCCGCCAAACACTAGAGCCACTGCCGCTGGGTAATTTGATTTCCTCGAGGCTGCCATCATCTGCATCCTTGACGTCGGACACGTTTCTGCCTAATGGAGTTGCTCGAGTGGCGTGAATTTCAATTAAATTAAATCAAAATGTTGCATTTTTTATTAAGGCCATTAGCGGCACACACGGAACACACACCCCTCCCCCTCTCCCCCTGTCCCCCTGTCCCTGGCCCCTAGCTGGTTAAATTAAGTTAAGATACCACAGCGTCAGTGCGAAAAGAACTTGTATCTTAATGTGCATAATGAAGTGCCAGACTTGACTTGCCCTCCACGACCTCCTGGATGTGCCCATATAATTTAGGTGGATGCGGATCCTACGGCTGGGAGGGAAAGCTATCGGGAAAATTCCAATTTCGAGGAAATTGAGCCATTCATTAACTGAGGTTTCTGAACCCAGGAAAAGCTCGTTAATGTCAGAAAAGCATAAGTAATTCAAAAGGATTTCCCATTATTCAGCCAACAACCATGCGTTCTATTAATTTATAAATACCAAATAGTGCAATAAGCTTCTTAAATGGTTCAAGATCTCTAAAAATCATAAAAAATAAAATGTTCTATTAATGGGTAGTTGTGTGCGGGAGAACGTTGAGGAAAATGCAGCAATTTTTCGGACTGCTTCTGGGAAAAGCGAAGTGGGTGTGTGAGGAAAAGTGGGCGTGGAGTTTGTTGCATTGTTGCACGTGCATTAAGAGTAATGCTGCAGTGCTCAGAAAAAGGTGGAAAGAGGGTGCAAATGCTACTTTGAGTGGCAATAAACAATGCATAATGAGTTGAGAGTCGCGTTATTATTGTTGCAGCCCGTGCCTGAGACTGTGCATTACTCAAACAGGTAATTTAAATTAAGCCAAAACAATACGCCAAGTTGGCATTTAAGGCAGCTGCAAGACGCACTTCTCCATTAGGAAATTGCAAATTAAAAAGCAAACACTTCTGGGCCATCCATTACTGCGGCACTTGCAGTCAAATCGTTTGAGTTTCTTTCAAAAATATGCATAAATCAGCAGAGGCGCTGATTATTACGAGTCTTCTTTCATTTTCACAGACATACCACTTAAACTGCCATTTACAGACATCAAAGTCAAAATTAGACAAATTTAGCAAATAAAAAATATTCGAAAGACTAAGTTTTGTGTTAAAGAGAGGATGTGTTAAATATCCTATTATCTTAAAAACAGCTATTCTCAATTTGCGAGTTGATTGCAAAAGGTAGATCGGAGCAAACTCGACAAAGTTTCAAATACAACTTCCTCCGATTATAAAATTAAATATATGTAATATAATTCTGTAATAAATAAAGCTGTTGCATAACAGCATGTCATAATGTTATTCAAATGTTACTGTAAGCACAATAGTGGTGAGAGAATTCACTTAAAATTCTACACTTATCCGTGACAGCAACCATTATGTAAAATGTTTTACCGATCAGAGTCGAGTACACAACCTAGTTCTCAGCATGGCAGCGCCCGAAATCCTTACAATTATGGACGGCAAGGCGGGTCATACGTAGAAATTAGTACGGCAACGCCGAACATCCTTATAATGTGAAGAAGTGTTATACACTGCTGCAAAATTAAGCGGCAAAAAATATGAAAACAGTTGCCAACGAAAGTTCTGACTTTAAAATATATTTAGCCTACTTTCGCCTGAAATTGGTTGTGAAAAAAGCTGCCAACACTGCTTACATTGATAGATACTTGGATAGATAACCGTCTTTTATTTAATACCGTCGTGATGAACATAATTTTTGAAAACTTAACAGTTTTTACGTGCAGATGCGCTCGTAACTCTGCCAAATATCTGGGAGTTACCCTGCACCGCAGACTAATTGTGTCCCAACATGTGACGGTTATTAGAATATATTCGATAAGTAAATTGTCACTCTCAAACAAGGCGACAATCTACAAGCAATTTATTGCTCCAATTTGGAGGTACGGGTGCCAACCAAGGGACTTGATGCTTCGTTCTCCTGTGATGAGAAGCTCCTGACTGTTCCCATCCCAGAATTCAATGTTTTCATTTGAAAGAATAGATAAATAGGTCACAAATGGGTTTTTGGTTTACGCCGTATGCCTTAATAAATACAAATAAAATAGTTAGTATTTGTGATTCATGTTAACATTCATGTTAACAGTCCACTTTTAAATGTTACCAATTTACTGGTCTTTTTTGTAATGTTATTATCCGATGCGGTATTTTATCCGTTCCACCATCTGGTCACACCAGACACGAAATTAGTAATCTAAAGAGAACCCAACAGTTTCTTAGTGCAAATACAATAAACTAATTGTTTAAAATGTGACATCAGTGAACGCAGTGTTTGCCAAGTAATCAACCAAAGGGTGCACTATTTTTTTCCTAAACGTGCCAGTGAATCGGCTCTACGCAAAAGAGCGAGCGGGACAGTGTGGTCTGAATACAATGGAGCTCCCGTGAAAATTGATTAAACAAAACAGTCGAGAAGAGAGCGCAAAATGCACAAAATGGTTAAATTATTCCTCAGGTAATTTCAGTCACAACAAAAACAACATGTGCCAGATTGATTTCGTGCTCTCATTGTTGTTGTTCTGGACTCTCTCTTTGGCGTTTAATATTATGAATGACGTAAGCGCGCCTCTTTGGTAGCAGCACGAAAGCAATAACAACAATTTGGTTTTGTTGCTTTTGCAAACAAGGAAAATAACAGAATGGTTTTGTTCTGTGCGTGTGCGTGTGTGTGTGTGAGTGAGCTTCGCACTCACCTATGCACACACATGCATACGCAGGTAAAAGTGGCGTCGTTGAATTTGTACTTGGAAAACGTGCTCGAACTATAAAGAGAGATACATAGTAAGGGAGCGCTAGCTCTCTTTCTCTCTTGGCAATGCTATTTCTTTTTTTGGTCAATGACCTAAGCTTTTTTGTCCGTTAGTTGGATTCGTTTCATTCGCCAATTTCCGTGCTTTTGTGTGCGAGCTAAAAAACTTAGTCCATTTCCGAAAATGTATGTTATTTTCTCAGGCTTTCTTCGCTTCGATATTCAAAAAATATAGTAAACACAAAGTTGCAAGTTGAAGTATTAACTCTTAGGATTATTATAAAAACTATCAGCACAAATCTAAATTGCATATTTAGGAACTATAGACAATAGAGTTGTGTAAATGAAATGTTCAAGAACTTTATTTTTCGAACTTAGTATGCACAGAGAATGAAATGAGTCTTCATAGTGCATTTATTCAACTAAGTAGAATTTCACTCGATCATCCAATTGCCTTGCTGTTGTGACATTTTGACAGTAATTAAGTTTATGCACTCAATTGTCACAAAGCCGGAAGAAAAAGTACACAAAGATGCAGATGATAATATTTAGCAGTGAAAACATCTCGCGAATTAGTAAACATGCCGGCCCAGTGACAATGCACTGTTTATTAAATAAATATTCTAAAATAAATATTATTGTTGTTATACGATCAGAAAGCGATTACCAAGAAGCTGGGACTGCAGCACAGGTCTATTTGCATTCGTGATAGCTTTTTGGTAAATAAATTATCTAAGCAGTAAAAGTACATTTTAGACTTGTAGGATTTTCTTTTGTTATACAAACATACAATCCCATAAAATCACTTAATTATTTTATATCTTTGTTATGGAATGGAAAATTCTAAGTAACTAAGTAAACATTAATTAAAAAATACTACAAATTAAATAGGAGCATGAAAGCAAGAATAATATGTAAAAATAAAGGTTTCATTATAAAGTGATTGATTTTTGTAGCATTCTATATATGTAACTTTCGGAATTTTACACAATCTTGAGAGGAACTTCTGCGTCTTAAGATTAATTGTTTGGCCTTTTGTCAGTCTGTTTTACTGGGATAAACATTTAACTAGTACTCATATTTTGTAGGGCACTCTGATTGCGGTGTACTTTGCTGGCTGAAAAGGCAGATACATATACAAATGTAAAGGTTGAGAGCGTAGGAAATCGCCTTTGTGCTCTGCTTGGTTTAAAAATTTAAACGCCAGTGCTGACCGAGCAATTAAAATGTAAACAGGCGGGAAATGAAAAAGCGTGCCAGGGCAAAACAAAATAAAATGCCAAAATATTTACAATTATGCACCAGTTGCACATAAAAACTAGGAAGAGAAGAATATATGTACTTATAAATGGCAAATTGGCAATAAGAAACCGACGCGACATTAATATGGGTGGGTAAATACAAAGGCATCATTGCTGAAGGTCGTTTTTGTTTGCGTGCGATAAACTTCTTTTTTTTTCGACTTTATAGCAAATAGCCCACATACATATGAACATACAAACCCAAATGCTTCCCTGTGTTTGCGATTGGTATTATCTGTAGGCCTTTGTTATCCAACCATTTGCTTATCTGGGCACGGCTCCCACTTGCAATGCGTGTGTTTGTGATGGATACTTGATTGAATTGTTGTCCGTATGTTAGCGGCTAAAAAACAATCGACAGCCGCTTATCAGCTGCCAGAAACATAAAAAAACGTTCCCGAAACCAAAGCCGAAGGTTGGATGCTCTCCAGAGCAATGTTCAACCTTCAAATAATAAAAGTATCATTTGTAGGGTATGCAATAGTCGTGAGGTATGCCATTCAAAAGGCGCTGCCCCTCCTCGCACACATCCAAACAATTTGTCAATCAACCGACAATCGCTTGCCAATCAAAAATTCGTGGGTGAGGTGAGTTCTAGATTTTCTTTGCTTGGAGGATGGGAAAAACTGTCGGAAAAGTGGGACAGCAATTGACTGACTATTCGAACACATTGTTTAAGGCAATTATTTCCATTTAAGCTGCATGATTTGTGCCGAAAACATTTCACAGTAGATATTTGAATGCTTAGTCAAAATATTTGATTTCGCGATAATCACTTTCCATGTATTAACAATATAAATTGGATTGCACTTCAGTTTTGAATAACACAATATTTTATTTATTTATGTTTACAATCGTATTCATCTGTTGGTACAGTTTATATATTTGAAAATGTTTTACTCGTTGCGTTCTAATAAAGCCCTAATTACATATTAAACAAAATTACCCAGATTTTTCCATTTGCAGTACAAATATTATTGCTTTGTTGTTTGTAATCTTATCTAATTGTTTTAAAATGGCAAGTTATCCACTAGCAAACATCTGATTACTACAAATAGTATTGTAATTATGCAGTGCGATTTTGTACCAACTAAAGATGAAAGGAACATAATTACAATCACAACTAAGAATCTCCTTGTTATCTGCAAGCGCAGTACTTTGTGTGTCAAGTATAAAGTCGTCAACAATATGTTATCCCATTTTATCTCCTCCAATTAAAGAGCCAAAATAATGGCTTCCATTGTTGTTGGTACGTTGATAAATTGTAATCGGCGATTATCCGGAACCGCAATTAAAATGTTTTCACCTTGCTCTCAACCCGTGGCCAGCAATTAATAAGGCTTAGATGGATTTATGGCCACCATATAACCCCAGATAACCCATAACCCACAGTCGCATGGCATCATCGCGAAATGCTCATAAAAGGCGCGTCTATGACAGCATCTTCTCCGCCTGGTGCCGTGCAAAACTGAGTATTTTTGGCCAAAACAACAAGCAGGGCAAATAAATACACGAAAAAACCGAAAACCGAAAGCCAAAAACCGAAACCTAAAACAAAGAGCCACAGCAAACGTCTTGGACATGTGCGCAAAAATCTTTTGAACTTTCGCATATGCGGCAGGCGAAACAAGTGCCAAGAGCAAACCCTGACATACATTATAATTTGTAGCAACGCCCTCTTTTTTTTGGAAACCGATTTTTTTTTATTATAGATATAGATATATAGTTTTTTTGTGGATATTTTGTTCACCTACACGCGCGACTAATCCCATTTCGAGCGGCATCAATAAATTTTCTGCCAGATTTCTATTCGCATTTTAGCTGTTTAAATAGGTGAGTTTTTCGGTAAATAGTCTGTAGCCCGCCCACAACAGCTGTTGACACTCACCCACGAAATGGAAATAGCTCCGGAAATAGCATTACCTGGTCTGGTATCCCGATTTTTTGGCAATACCGAGGTGGACCCACTGAAAGAAAGCCCAATTAATGCCGAAGGGAGCCCCACTGTTAGTCACTCACCTGACTTTCGGTCAACTACAATCTATATTCGCATTTTTTCGGACATGAGTAACCACGGTAATTAGTAATTGGGAGCAAATCGGTTTGGATACAGGTGACTAAGGCACTTTTATCCATAGAAATGGAAATGCACAGTTCGTTTAGAGAATCTATGGCCTTGCAAATCAATCAACGGCTAATAATGAGGCCTCACTGTTGATTAGCCAATATAAATAAATGGATTTTTGTGAGCTTACCTCGCAAATTCAGCTTCTTACTGTTTAAATAAAACAAAATTCTAGTATTATTTTATTTGAGATCCTGCACTTGGTAATATAGTTTCCATGCGCACTATAGATTGTGCTGACTTTCATTTGAGTTTCCATTTGATTGCAAAAACTAAAGAAAGCTGAAAAGAGAAAGCATCAAAAAACAATGGTATCAATGTGTAAAATTATGACTTAAATGGCCAAATGGTCAAGTAATAAACTGGGTAGAAGCAAATAAATATATATCAATATATAGGGTACATTGGGGTATACTTAACAGCGCGTGCGTTGAAAAAATTATGAATTTCCGCGCATATCAATAGTATATCTTCGCTAAGTACTGTAGTTCTCAATTCTTAGACTTTAGCCTACTAAAAAATAGTTTTCGAGCAGTGTGAATCGGTTTTTGGCCTGGTCAACGAAAATTGTTAAACAATCGAGAGTTGCCCACGCGCACGGTGAATTTGGTGGCGTCTTCCTACTCAGTTTCTGTCTTTTGATTGAATGTTGTTTGTTTTGAACGGGCGCTGTGGGCTGCGAGGAAAGAGAGGGCCTGGCTCTCTTTTGAATTCATCGAATCGAATTCTCAAATTCTCTGCTCTCTGCGCTGCCGATCGATGTTGGAGGTACTTGGTTGGCTTTTCTGAGTGCTGCGACTCATTCGCTTGCGTTCATTCGACGCGTTAACAACGTTGCGTATACGCCTCGTCGGTCGCGCTGCATTAGTGTTGGTGAGCCGTCGCCTACGTGTACGTGTGCGTGCTCGAGTGTGTGAGTCTCTTTTTTGAGTTCTCCTGATATTTACGAATATTATTCAGCCGACTTCCGTTCCGATCGCATATAAAAGCGTGTCTGTGTGCGCGCCATATAAAATCATTTCTAAATTTATAAAAACAAACGCGTATACACACACACAAACTCACAATCACTCGCCGCCAAAAAGAAATCAATTTTATTTGTGCAAGACGTAATGCCTTAAGATGTATATTTATGCATAAATATTTGCCAAAAGAGCACCCACACACAATAACCAAACAAAAGTCAACAACCAAGTGCCTAGCGAGCTGCTAAACAACATTAAAAAGTGGGAAATAAACTTTCTTGATTTATTTTGCGCCAGACATACATATCGATATAA